TAGTTGCATGACTAGGATAAACTGGGTTTGTCGTGGCTGAGCAAACAGAGCCGCCCTGAAAGCATACTTCTGAGTTGTAAACTCCCTTGGCGAGCAAGTGATCAAGCTAAATCTTGAATGTGTGAATTCGTCCCGACCTGGAGGGGAAGAGTGAGGAACAAGATCAAGGATCCTGTCGGGTACGGGAAGATCAAGGACTACATTGCCCTTCAACCTTTGGATATTGTATCCTTCCTTACTTGATAACTCTTGAGTCCTAGATGATGATATGATAATATCGTCTTCTTTCCTCGGAGTCAATGGGGGAATAGATGTACCGTACGGCATCTGCTGTTGTTGATGGAGTCGACTAGAAGTCGAGGCGAAGGGTTCCGCTTGCTGGGGAACACGTATTGATGGCAGTGGCTTATCTCGGTCACTCTGTCCCTCGCCGTAGTTCACTGCTGGCACTGTAGGAGTTCGTGATGAATTGGGTGAGTTCTCCTCCTTCTTCACGAATCCAGAAGGCGCGGATTTCCTATGGCTGTTGCCTTGATCGACTCGCACAGGCGGCGGTGAAGTTTGTTGTGGCATTCCTTTATTTTTGAGACGCGATGCCCCCGAGGCGCTCGAAGGAGATGCTTGTGGACCATGGCCAAGGGTGGCATTGGCGGAGGAGGCCGTAGTAAAAGAAAGCACGGGGCCGGGTTCTCGGGGGCGGTGGAGGATGTCTTCCTTTTCTGGTCTCAGCCGGTAAACATGTGCGTGATTGTGACCTTCTGAAGCGTCAAGTTGAGCAATATCATCTGTGAAGGCATCTCTTTGATATAGCAACTGGCTAGCTACCAAGGCACTGGGATGCCGAGGTCCTAGGATTGGTAGATCGTGTTGCGGAGATTCGGGTGAGTTGTCGTCGTGCTCATCGACCATAGACAGAGCTCCAGAGCTCATGTCATCACTATAGGACACATCCACATCTAGAGTCGTCTCAGTATATGTCACCATATCCTCGAGGAACTTCTGGAGAATATAATCATTCGGAGCAGCAGCAGTATCGGGTAATCGAGCTTGAAGCCGCGCAATCTCCTGCAGGATCAAAGCTGTGTCATCTTTAATCGCAGCTGTATCGTTACGGATTTCCGTAGTATTGGTTTTGATATCTTTGGTGAGAGATAGAGACAGCATGTCGAGGGCCAGTTCCAGGGCTGATTTGTGAGCTTCCAAGCTGGACCTCAGCTTCTCCATGTCGCCTTGGCCATTAATAGCCCAAGCGGCTCTGCTCTTGATACGTCCATCTCCGTACTTTTTTATACATGTTCCAACTTCGAGAACCACAGAGCCGCAGTTTGAAACAATGCCTGACACGTGATGTTGGATTGTTGGTGGAAATGGCTTCGTGCCATCTTTTGCGTCTTCTTCAATCAGTTCAAGGACTGTCTGTAGAGAATAGAGCTCGCGTGAAATCCTGTCTAAATCGCTGCGGGCCTCTCGACAGCTGCGCACAAAGGTATTAATTGATATACTTAAGCTTCCGATCGCTGTGATGAGACCAGCGCAACCGCTGATAATAGAGAGAGGATCCATTTGATGATGTTGAAAATGCCAAGTGCTGGTGCGGGGATAATAACATTTCAGCTGCTCCGAGTTGAGATGTGCAGTCAGCCTTACGCATCCAGGTAGATGATGGCTGAATCGGAGTGCGTTTATTGGGTGACTGTTACCAGCCAGTATCTACCGAAATAAAATGAGTGCGATGTTTGATCCTAAACTATTTATCTCAAATTTGTTTTGAATCTAAAAGTTCTTCTGTGTGCGATTCTGTTTGCTCCTCGAAATTCCTTCGGGTTGTTGATAAGACTATTCAGGAGGATAAATACCTGCCATGTCCGTGACATGAGGCAGAATTGAGGGCTGGACCAGTGAAAAGGCGCCGATCAATAGCACAGCTATATGGTGATGATGTGCCAGAAAGAAAGAAAGCATGTCTAAATTGTGAGCTAGATGTGCTATTTGCCCATAGCCCAGAGCTTATAATCACCGCATAGAACTTAACCCCTATCTGTACTCCATCTGATTCGAAGTATTAGCTTTTCCAGACCGAGGCTCATCTTTCGGCACAAGCTCAATCGCCGAGTCTCTCGTATGCGGCTGAAGATTACCGGGATATCTCACATAAAACGCAACCATAACCAACAGCATCAAAATTGAGTCGAATACAAAAGTCGGCCATTCCTTCTGCTGCAAATATCCTTCCTTATCCATGGCGAACTCGACGACTCGAAAGATGTTTCGGACAAGAATGAGAGCTGATGTGAAGTAAAGCATGTTTAGATATGCCTCCCAACGGATCGCAACAGGGATGCTAGTATGCCTCAAATGAACCCTAAATCGTCGATGAAAGACAATGCAGCAGGCTACAAAGGCGAGGAACAGGAGAATCTGTGCGATGAGGCCGGTTATAACGATGATGTTCCCGATGTGAACAAGATCGGCATTCGCGAGCAATCCACCGCCATTTCCCTGGATATTGAACGTGAGAAAGTCTCCAAGGACAAAAAGACGAGTCGTCCAGCGAACAGAGATGAGAGAACAACTCTCACCACCTATAGCTCTGACCAGACGAGAATAAACCATGTAGAGTGTCGCTGCGAAGAAGACGGGTGGGAGGAGGAGAAAGAGGGCTTGCATGATGTTGAGAGGGAGGGAGTCAGTGGCGTTCCAGCATAGAGCTCGGAAGAAGTAGCCGAGTACTTCGCCTGTAGATAGGTCAGAGAGATGAAGGCACTCGGGCGACAGGGAGACTTACAGACGCCACCGAGGAAGAAGGGAAGACAGAAGTGTGTTTTTGACTTGTGTATTTTATATCCAACGCCTACTGTTGCGAGGGTGAAGAGAAGCGTGAAGATAATTGATCCGGCGAGACTGGGGACGTATTGCCATAGGTAGACTTCACCCAAATACTTCTTTAGCTCGGGCATTGTAGAGAAGAGGAACAGTGGACGAAAAACCTAAAACGGTCTTATTATCAGACAAGAAGAAAATAGGTTTGTTCTATTCAAGGCAACTCTGAAAGTGGCTTTCAGTTGGATGAGAAGTCAAGAATCAGGTGTACGATGGCCTGCAGCATCACAACGGCAGCAATATATACGAATTCTTCATTTTAATTGACACACTAACCCCTGATTCTATCTGCAAATCACCCGCTGACACGCGCGTTGCGTACTGGTTCTTGCGTATCAAAAAGTCCCAATCGTCAAAATTACCCTGAAGCTGGAGATAAGATCGGGTCGTTAAAGCCCGAACACGCGTGTTAGCTAAGCAGCTGGCAGGGAGCTGAGGGCCAGACCTTACCCAGGCTGGACTAGTCTGTTCTATTTAGGCTTCGGGGTTACCAGGGTTCAGTGTCGATCACTTCGCTTACGGCTTGCGAGTCCTTGATGATGAATTCCCGTCTCAGCGCATTTATCTCATACCAAATTGCAATTTCTGGGTATTACTATCGTCCACACTCTTCCCAGTTTTTCAAAAAATCTTATCTCATGTGTTTTAGTCAGAATGCTTCGTCGCAGTCATAAAAAGTCCAAGAAGGGATGCCTGCAATGGTAAGTCGAATTGGCATCTAAGCGTCAAAAACATGGAATGTAAACTGATATCTGATTAGCAAGCGACGTCACGTAAAGGTACGACTCTCCATTGTTCAAAATTAATAAGCGCTTAAGCTTAATCACCCGCATTGACTCTGTTGTTCCCATGACTAACACGCGTGTTCAGTGCGATGAAGGCCACCCAACATGTCTCCTCTGCACAATGTCAAACCGAGACTGCAGTTTCGCCTCCGACCCCCAACCACCCCCTCAAGACACAAATTCAGACGTATCATCTTGCGAAGGATCACTCCTCAGCCCAGACACCAACCTCAGATCAACTAGCGCGACATCCCTCTCCGACCGCCATGAAACATCATTTGATAGCGTCGTCAACATGGAACACATGGAACTCTTCATCCATGGGATAACAAACAAAGACTTGTTCAGTCTTGGTGACAGAGTTGAACATTCTCAAGAGACGCTTGATATCTGTCTTAAAGAGAGCGTTAAGGCACCGTATCTCTTACATCAGGTGTTGGCGTTCTCAGCCCGCCATCTAGCGGCTATTCACCCTGGGCGCTCAGCAAGTTACCTGGATCAAGCTGTCAAGTTACAGACGCGAGCTGTATCACTGTTCAATTCGACGAAACGGGAGGTTGATTCATCGAATTGTCTCGCTATTCTCCTGTTCTCAGTTACTCTTGGCCATCACCTCCTCGCCGATGCTCTGGCAACCCGAAGCTCCGGCGATCTTGATGTATTCCTGACTCATTATGTTCAATGTGTCGAGATGAACTGGGGCTTATATCGTTTGACGCTTTCCGCATGGCCTTTACTTCTAAACACGCAACTCGAACCAGTTCTATCATGGAGTAGTCAACAATCATCCAAAGACCCGATCGGAAACCACTGCGAACCCATAGTCCAACTCATCAACGACTCAACTGCTTTATCAAGTGAGGAAAAAGAAGTCTGCCACGAAGCAATACAATACCTCCAACTTGGTTTCGATGCCATGTTCGAAGAGGACGATGGTAGTCGCTATCGTATGATATTCCAATGGACGATGCTAGCGTCTCCGGAGCTGACAAACTTGTTAGCCACAAAACGACCCGAAGCTCTGATTCTTCTGGGTTATTACGCCCTGTTATTGCATTACGGACGAAGTCTCTGGCAAGTTGGAGATACAGGGATGTATCTGCTAGGTCTCATCGTGGACTATCTTGCACCAGAATGGCATATCTGGCTCGAGTATCCACGGCGAATGATGAGACAAAAGTGAAGCCGTATATCCATTCTAATAGAAGCCGGCCAATTTATTCATGAGTGGGTACATCAAAGTGCCATGTCCCGAGGTGACAGATCTCCACATACTACACCATACCTCAACAGGAAGATCCACACGACTTCAACCCTAAAAAAGAGAAAAAAGAATGAGGCACACCGGATTTGAACCGATAACCTTCAGGAATCTCCGTGCTAAATAGCTGGAATCTGACGCGCTACCGTTGCGCCAGCGCCCCATTGTATGTTGGATTCGTCTTCACAAACAGCAACTTGAATGTGCTGGCCGTGAACCCGACTCTCACTGTCGGATACTTGTACAACCTAAGGGAGGCAGGAAACCATATGCCCTCTATTGCGGCCGGCAAAGCGACTCCGGTAACATGAGTAATTTGATGGGCTTTTAGACTACTCACTTACATCACTTGGGACGGAGGCAAGGAGAGGCAATCCCATCAGTGATAAGAACATTCAGGCAAGTAAACCGAAATTTATTTATCTCTTTGATAAATATATTTTGACATCCTATGTTGGAGTTTGACCGCTATAAGGGCTTTTCGTCGACGAGACAAGAAGCATGAGAAAAGCAATATACCGCTTGTAGTAACTAACAAGTTCCAACTAAATGCAAGTGCCTTGTTTATCGAATGACCGCTACAAGGGCTTTCCACCCCTTTCGAGAGCCCAGTTCACCAAATAGTCAGGTTTACGTTCAATCTCCTCTTTGCAACCCACCAATCACTCAAAGTCTCAAAGTACTCATCATACTGCCGCCGGGTTCGGTCTACATATTGCCTTTCTCGACCAAACCTACGAAAGCTGTCCCGGCGATTACAAGACCCGAACGTACGCAACATGCATATGCGCGGGCGACGGCAGCGCCAAATTTGTCTCTTGCTTGTCTTCATGTGATCCCAATAAGAACAACCAGCCATCGCTAGCTCAACATACTGTGGCTCCTGTGTCCTATTTTTGAAGGAACTTTGCGACGGTGCTTAGGAATGCCACGACTCGTATGTGACACCTAGTTCTCAGCTGCAACACGGATGTGAGTGATTTCACCCTTGGTGAGCTTCTTAATGTCTAAAAAGACATCCTCGATGGGCGTGACAAAGGTCACTCCATTTCCACCTTGACCTGCTTTGTTAGGCACTTGTCCTCTAAACAACAAGCCAATAATGCATCCCTTCTCGTCAAAGACGGACGCGCCAGAGTCGCCATGCCCAGAGAACGGAGGATCATTGGGACGATGGGTGTACACAAAGCAATACTCATTCGATACCGTCTGTGACATATGGCTCTCCTCAATGAGCTTGACATCGTTCTTGAAGTGACTAAACTTGCCGGCAGTGAGTTTGGTTGTAGTGCCAAGCTTCCAGACATTGGCGACAGAAGGTAGATGACTGGGTCGATTCTCGAGAGGTAGCATGGACCGTCCTTGGGTCTTCAACGGTTGGCCGTATGTCTTGGCATTGGGACGGTACAAAGAATGGTGGTTGTATTTAGTCCACTCCCCCTTCGTGGGCAAACGGTTGGACCCTTGTCGATGCTCTGGAACTTTTATCAATGCCCAGTCAAGTCTGTGGTTGTTGACAGACCGTCGCCCATAGCCGGAAGCAGCAATTAAAGGGCCCAATGCCTGCTTATCCTGGTTGAAAAAGTCAATCTTCCTTTTCAGTTCTCCTTCTAGATCTGCAAGGTCCTTCACATTTCCCTCGGAGGGATCCTCTTGTACTGTGTCTTTGGCGTCCTGGATCCTCTGATTGAGATCCCATACCGTGAAGTTGTGCTTGATTCGAGAAGGGCTTTCAAAGGGAGTTGGGTCACCGACTGTGCCAGGCAGCCAACCACTCTGATCGACCTTGAGGAGTTGACTGTTGGATGATGGAGGGCCTATGATGAAATCGCCATTGACTTCCTTGATCGTCCAGCCTTGAAAGCCAGGTCGGACATTGTGGTAGTTGGTGAGGCCAACCTTGGTCCATTGCGGGTTCGTCTTAGTCTTGATCTCAAGGTAACAACCCAGGGTACCGCATAGAGGGTTGCAGGTTTCACCATCATCGCGGTCAACGTACTGAGAGATGGAAACATCATCACCAAGGTTGACATTGTCATGGTATTCTCCATGGATGACTAGGTTATTCTTGGAAATCTTGGTCAAGATCTCGCCGCGTTCGCCCTTGGGATCTAGCAGTTGGAATGGGAGAAGACATGGTGAGTTGTGCTCAAGATGGACACGAATATCGGTCCATCCAAGGGCCTTGAGCGAGTTCTCGATGTTGGTCAGAATCGAATCCCATTGCTTCTCATCTGATCTGCGATCAACCGATATATAGACCGTGATAGGGTTGGTAGCAGTGTTGGGTGAAAGGCCATGTCGCAATAAGATAATGGACGTGACGAAGTGGCGTGTTGCATCAAATGTATTGAGACGCTCATGGACAACTCTCTTGATGTGATCCCAATGTTGAAGAAGATAAGGTCGATCGTCCACCACACCCAGGTAGATAGGCCCTACAATCTCGGGTGCCGTGATTTCGATACGAGGAGGAGTATCCTCGAACTCGGTGCCTTGCAGAAGTTCTTTGTTGCGAATAGCAATAGCCTGAACCGCCGAAGTCCATTTTGCCTTGGAATCAGGTAACCAAGGAAGGACGACTGTGACCGTAGGCTCTTCAGTACCCAGGCGTCCTTCTATTCGTTCCATGTTGGTCTCAGCAAAGCATCGAGGGCCCTCTAGCAGACCGTGCTCAGCAAGAATAGTGTTGGCACCATCTCGGATATCTAGTCCATGACGGACGAAAATCTCGGGATCAGGGCCTAGCAAACACTCAACGGGGCATGGACGAAGGTCAGGGTATGCAACGCGGTATCTCGTGGACACTACGGGAACCAGAGGCCCAGACTCTTCAGATGAGGTCTGGCCGGTTCTTCGGGATCGTGACCCAGACGGCCCATAGCCACTGTCCTGTGGCGGCGAGGACGGTGCTAAGAAGGCGTCCATGATGTGTCGTTCAGTATGGGTAAAGCTACTCCAACCTGTGTCAGGTTTTTGGATGAACAATAATGAGAAGGAGAGGAGAAAAGAAAGAAAAGCTTCAGAGGTGGCTGCTGGCCTTTAAATGTTCGCGGTGACAATGGCAAAAGTGAAAGTATGTGTGAAAGTCAAATTTGACTTTAATAATGAAGTCAAAGGGCAAAGTTTGTTTTATATCAACCAGCGACAAAACTTACCTTTTCTTGGACAATTACTGTTCTTCTCTTAACGCGCCCGATTGGCGGTTCAGAAATGCTCGGCTCGATCGATCAACACTGGTAGTTCAACGTAGTCAGCAAACAGTTAAAAGAGCATATGTGAAAAGGTTCTTGAAGTAGGGCAAAGGTGATATGGAAATGAAGCTCTCAGTAGTGAGATTTCAGCAAAATATGCATTATTTCATACAGAGCCGTGACGTAGACAGGGGAAGTAAGGGAAGGTGGTGAAGGGCGGCTTTGTTTTGGATTTGACGGTGCTCCAGCGGTCCACGTTCGGGTGCAAATTCGTGACGGGAAAATGGATCAGGAAATAAAGTAAAGGACATGAAAATGGAGCGCTTGATCGTGAGATAGCGAGAACGATAATCTTTTAATAAATGAGGTTCTTGCGGGCGCGTAAGCCGGGTAGAACGAGGATATTCTTACCTTGAAGGTGGTGTTGAGCATAAGTTGTGGAAAATGAAGCTAAGTTCTGGGCGTGTTGCTACTAACAATTTTCACCATCTATGAAAGCGACGTCGACTTCGGGGGCTTTGGCTACCATGGTGCCAGCTTGGGCTATTATGGCCGGCATGGGATTGCAGTTGGTGAATGCATGGGCGCAACTGAATATTTTTAAGGCCTGTGCGAGTTGAAAGAGTCAATTGATCTGATCCTCGATATACCAATAGTAGAAATAGATGATTTATCAGCGTGATCTGTAAATAGTCCATCATTTGGCACCTCATCCCCGATTCCCCAGTATCTCTGACATAGGCACGTGCCCCGGAGCGTGGAAAGACTTTATTTCTGCATCCCGTTTGCTTTGAAATGAAGCTCCTCGCTTTTGGTGATCCCTGAGTGGCTCACATTGAGAGCTTGGCTTGGTGAGCTTGGTAAGTCTGATAGCCTTGGCATGTCAGCATTGCTGACTACAATTGCACCGGACATGCCCGCGGAGCTCCATGGTTGTCAGTTCCACAAGTAATTCTCGTCGACATTACGCGGTCGCCTCAGTGTAAGTGACGCGGTTGCGAGGCTGTGAAGCTCACTGTGAGAATCGCCAAGATGAAAACATCTTTGGCGACAACAATGAAGGATATCGAGTGTTGGTCTAAGCCGCTGTTGAGCTGCATATAAAGAGTCAAGTTATCGACTTTGAAATGGAATTCATCTAGCAGAACAATCGAAACACCAAGTTAGTTCACAACAACTACATGATGATTCTCGATCGTATGAAACTCGCTCTCGCGGCCGTTTTGGCTACCAGCCCTACCACTCTTGCGACAAAAGCCGATATCTACGACTATGTCATCATCGGTTCTGGTCCAGGAGGAGGCTCCCTTGCGTGAGTCAAGGCAGAAACCCAACATACACCTCCCCTACTGACGGGCAACAGTGCCAATCTAGCTAGAGAGGGACACTCCGTCTTCCTGATCGAAGCGGGAGGAGACAATCACACAAGTATTCTTGAACAGCTGCCTGCTCTGTAAGCTCAGAACCTCACAAGTGCGTGCTGTTACTAACAGTCTTCAGGGCCCGAACTGCTGCCGAGACTCCCGGCCACTCTTGGCAATTCTTCGTCAATCACTACGACGACTTCGATGCAGCTCGTCGTGATCCTAAGTACACTTATATCCAGACCAATGGTTCATACTACGTTGGACTTGATCCGCCCGAGGGTGCTAGGCCGTAAGTATCAGCACTCCTACTCGTCGAGTTTTGACTAATAACAATATTGCAGTGCCGGCTTATACTATCCTCGCGGCTCAACCCTCGGCGGTAGTGCGCAAGTCAACGCCATGAACTTTGCGTGGTGCCCTGATAATGAGTGGGACTACATCGCCAATCTCACGGGCGATGCCTCCTGGGGTCACGAGCATATGCGCCGACATCTGATGAACATTGAGAATTGCACCTACGTCCCGGAGGGTACTCCTGGCCATGGTTTCGATGGTTACCTGGTGGTAAGAACCAGCCCTCGTCCTTCGTGACGGATGACACT